TTCCTGAATAAGATGGAGGTCTTCTGTTCTTGTCTTGACGGGAATTGACAAGCTTATATGCACTGTGCAATCCATATTAAGTGAGATTACTAGTTTACTTTGAAAACTATTTAGGATTATTTCTCAGACATAAATATGTACTTGTTTACAAAACAAAAAATGTTTACAAAAATTGTTTACTTGTTTACACAACAATAATTTTGAGCAGGCACACGCTAAGTTAAAGCATCTATCTAAAAATGAGCCTTTTTTTTTCCTACTCTTAATACTGTTTTTTTTTCCTTGCAGCATTAAAATGCATGAAAAGAGAAATACAAAGCAAAAGAATGATGAAAAAACACCTAAAGGAGCTGTACCAGCATACCTGCTGGACAGAGAGGGCCAGTCCCGGGCTAAGGTTCTTTCCAACATGATCAAGCAGAAAAGAAAAGAAAAAGCTGTAAGTAACTGTATTAAAATTCAGATACTTGCAATTACTTGTAAAAATGACCGATTTTCGTAACTTTAAATGCTAATTAAAATAAATAGTTATGAGTTGTGTAAAAAGTAGTTACTACTATACAAAAAGGGAAATTTAATTTTATGCTTTGTTTGTCCCCTTTCATTTAGCAATGCAGCATGTTAAGACTATTGACTTTTTTTTTTCCCCAGGGGAAATGGGAAGTTCCTGTGCCAAAGGTCCGCGCACAAGGAGAAACAGAAGTTTTAAAAGTGATTCGTACAGGGAAGAGAAAGAAGAAGGCCTGGAAGAGGATGGTTACAAAAGTTTGTTTTGTTGGAGATGGGTTTACTAGGAAGCCTCCTAAATACGAGCGATTCATTCGACCAATGGTAATGTTCTTCAGCCTTAAAGAATATTTGAGTAGTATTTCTTTTGGCTTACTGCTTTGAGTTCCTGTGGCGAGGAAACTTTCTTCTGTGATGATGTACTTGCTTACTACTGATGGAGAAGATTCCTATTAGTTTCCTTGCAGAAACCTAAACTTTGACTAGCCTGAGGGTGGGGAGATGCCCCTGCAGTCCCTGTGTGGAAATATCTCTGCTCTTACTCCTGTAAGACAGGCGGTGCCAGTAAGTTAAAGCTCAATTAGCAAAGTCAAATTGGCATGGGAAGGTCTTTAGCAAAGGCACTTTGAATAGCTTTTGAAGTTGGAGGCTTCTTTTTCAAGCTGCTATCGTTCTGTCAGATACAGAAGCCAACTCTCTTGCAGGACTCCAGAACTCCCTCCTCCTGACTTGTTAAGTAAGCTTGAAGCAGTCGTGACAGTGTGTGAAAGGGAAATGCTCTGCCTCCTGCCTGACCTTTCCTTACACCTCTGCAGGAACAGTGCCTGGGCTCTAGCAGCCTGGCAGTGCACAGGAGAAAAAATTAGATTCACCGAGACAATGTAGTTTTTCTACAAATACCCGTTCTCATTCCGTCACAGGAATCAACAGAACCACCATGCAGGCTGCCTGTTGGATCGTACCCCATTACTATTTCGATGGCCATAATCTTACACAGAAGCTTTGGGTAGATTTTTACTGATGCAGATAAGTTTATGATACTTAATAGTAAAGTACTCTTTAAAAAGCACAGGTTGCTAGATATAAAGTGCTATAGGAGATTGGTATTTAGTATTTTACGATGTGTGAAAGGTTTCACAAGAAAAAAGGAAAAATTTTGAGTCTTAAAAACCAGTTACCACGAACACCTCATTTCTTCATGGAACAGAAGCCATCTGAGGTAGCAAGTAGTATTCTTGTGCTACTATTAAGAATTGACACCCTGAAAATAAATATGGAAGGCTGTACCTAGTCATTAGTTGGGTTTTTAAACAAATTTGGCATTTTATAGTAGGCAGATAGCACTCTGTATTTTAGGTTGTTTTCATTCTTCCCAATCTGTCATAACATACACAGCTGAGGACACAACGCTGAAAGTGTTAAAGTAGATTAACCATGAGGTTTTAAAGCAAATACTAACTCATTCTAACTCTCCTTGTGCAACAGGGCTTGCGTTTCAAGAAGGCACACGTGACACATCCTGAACTTAAGGCTACTTTTTGCCTACCTATCCTTGGTGTAAAAAAGAACCCTTCTTCTCCTTTGTACACACAACTGGGTGTGATTACCAAGGGGACCGTCATTGAGGTGAATGTGAGCGAGCTTGGCCTTGTGACACAAGGGGGCAAAGTTATCTGGGGTAAGTAGTCAAACTAGCTGTACTGCAGAACTACTTTTAAAAGTTTTAAGTCTTCGTTGCCTGATGTATTGTTAAGACCACAGCACATAGTCAAAACTGATCCACTGTTAAATGTTAAGTTTGGGCTGTAGCAAAAGTAAATACCAGGCAACACTAAAAATGGTAACTTTAAGTTTTAATCCTAGGCTTTGTGTTCACTCTTTCAAAAATTAATTTAGATGAAGTTCAGAACAAAGACTCAACGTGCCCGTGTCTCACAGTAGGCAGTGCTACAATTCTGTAAAGACCTAGCCATGTGAACTATGAACAATTTTATTATGTTTTCTGTGGAAGTTCTGTGTAGAAGTATCTTCAGAGGATCAGGCTGACTTCTTTTAACAGAGGACTTGGACAACAGCAGAATCCTACGATTTATTTAGATTTTTTTAAACCTACCCAGAACTCTAAATGATTCGTTTATAAAAACCAGCCAGAGTAAAGTATTTTGAGAACCTAAGCTTGCAGCTCAGCAGAGGTAGACTTAGATTTCAAAATGCCTTTCAGTTTTAGAACAGGAATTCCTTACACTTTAGAGACTTGTGGATTGAACATGCAAACGTGGAAAAAATTAATTTATTATATGAAATACTCAAAGCTTTTGTAGACATTTAATTCCCTTTTCTCTTTAGGGAAATATGCACAAGTAACAAACAATCCAGAAAACGATGGCTGTATTAATGCAGTTCTACTTGTTTAAGTTGTCCTTGATACTAAGTGCTGGACACGGGCTCCTGCAAAATCAGTGCAGTTTCAACAAGTTTGCAAGATCTCTGGAATCTTCAACCATTCAAGAACATTGACCCTACAAGCTGGTGAGGAACTTAAAAATGCCAGAAACGACTGCTTGGTTTTTATATTTATTGCGTTTGCTCAGCTGAACGCTGTCCAAATAAAGTGATTCAATTTTCATGTTTTGTTTATGTGGTATGGATTTGATGAAAACCTTCATAGTATTTTTACAGCAGCAGTGTACTGGTACAGCACCAGTATTTCCTGGCTTAGATATATCATATAAATACTTAATTCAGCTCGCATTCCTAGTGACAGGAAATACAGCCACTGTCTCCCATGGTCGCCTACTATAATAGCTAAAGGTACAGAACATCCTAAGTTGTGTTCTGCTTCTGGGAAAGCAGAAGAGCTGGAAGAACACAGCTACAGTCTTACTGCAGACTGACATCAGAAATAAAACACTCAGTTTGCTCCTACAGAAGCATGGGCTTGAGAACACATTAGCAGTATAGTTCCACACAGGGCAGGGGGGAAAGTTAACTAGAAGGACAGGTATTCCCCCCCTCCCCCCATTACCTCACATCTTTCTCCCCTTTGCTTCTGTGACTGCATTAATGGAAAGAGTAAGGGCTGGAGAGTGTTCCACTGTAGTAGTTACAGGCAAGAGAACAGTTTTGGAAGTTTAAATTTATGAAGTTCTAGGGGGTTGAAGATGTGGATTTTGAAGACAGCGTCACAACCCTGATACTGCAACTACTTATAGCTACTTTGGTGATTTTTAAGAAACACTCAAGAAAAAGTAAACATCATAAACATCCAATGATCAATCTGTATTTATCTTGTATCTTCAAAATACAAGAAACAAAAGCTGCTTCTAAATGGGAAGCTTTCAGTGATGCTCTATGTAACTGCATCAGCAATCTTCCAGTCAAGAATTTGGTGGTAAACAGCACAATTTATCACTACAAATAAGCATACTCACTATCTTATATTCCTAAATGGTACTTCACTTCAAGCCAAGGAGCTTTTAACATGAATCTCAAGTCAAATGCTTACAAGCTTTCTCCAGTTTAAGAGGGCATTCTGTCCCCTTAACATCGTAAGGAGGAAACTATCAACAAAACTCTCAAAAGCCAGAATGTGAATAGATTTATGTTGGGGTTTTTTGCATTAGCAAAAGTTTAAGGCTAGAGGTTGTTACACATGCAATAAGCAGGTTGAGTAGCAGGTTAGAGAGTCACAGGGATTTAAGATTGCAAGGGAGCTTTTGAGACAATGCTTAAAGCACAGTCAACTACAGTAAGTGCTGAAGGGCCACATCCAATCAGGTTTTGATTATCTCTAAGGATGGAGACTCCACCACCTCATCCAGTGTTTGACAACTCTTACAGTTTAAAATGTTTTATGTTTAAATAGAATTTCCTATATTCCAGTTTGTGCACACCACCTCTTGTGTCACTGGGCACCACTGAGGAGAGTCTTGCTGTTTCCTTTGTACCCCTCCACTAGATCCTCCTAAGCTTTCTCTTCTCCAGGCTGAACAATTGCAGCTCTCATCCTCTTGTATGACAGCTGGTCCAAGCCTTTAATCATCTTCATGATCAGATAATGTTTCAGATCTGGAACTCTATAATCAGGAAGTCAAGCTAGCTGCTTTTGTACCAGCTTTCTAACTTCTCTTACACTATCTACACTAAGAAGCAGTACTTAAACTGTACCAAAGTCTTCTCCTTTTACAGATTATTTTGTCAGTTTAACACATTGCCCTAGTCCAGATTTAATATGTTACTATGATTTTTACTTCTTTGTGTAGTGACAAGTGATTTGAAACAAAGAGAGGGGCACAAGCCAGTATGTCATTTGCTTGGAGGGAGGGCATTTTGTCAAAACAGATAAGCGTCCACTTAAGTTCTTGTTGCTTTACCCTTTAGTGCACATTAACAAATAACATGGACAGAATACTGTTATTTTCTACAGCTGCTGTCTCAAGAACATTAATATGTTTTGCACTATAAATACATGACTGCTTGGCCGAGTAACAAAATTGTTCTACTTCAGACATTTTAATATACCACACTGTAGGGAGTGCATTACTGCATTTCTAGTTGGCTTGTCTGTAGCAAACTTTAATTTCTTAATTAATCATCTTTCAGCTTTTAAAGCTCCTTGGTAGCAGACCGATTGTAGGATGATGCTAGATCTAGGATCACTTTAAAACATGCCTCCTGTATAGCAGAAAGAACTCAAAGACTGAAAACCAAGAAAAAGAAAAACCTAATCACAAAATATAAGTTTAATTGCTACTTCAAACATTTCAAAAGCAGTGAAGACAGCACTACAAAAGGAAAAACTAACACTGTAGCAAGACTGCAGTACAATATTCTAGAACAGCAACACATCCTTCATAAGATTTATAAACAGGGTATCACTGGTTTAAAAAACATCTAACACATTTGTGAAAATAAATTTAGAAGTATATCCTCTTGGAAATTTTTTTTTTTTTTAGAATGGCCACTTAAAGCGGAGAAGCTGAAACTTATACCTATTTGTTGCTATGTTTAACTTAGTAGTGGTGATGACACTGTAAATGATCAATTTGATTACTGGTATCTACAAATGAAATGGTATTAAAAAAAGCAACAAACCAAGGTCAGACATTATTTCAAGTCAGTTGACAACACTTTTGAAGTAAGATGTATACATTTTTGTGTAAAGGACTATAAAACATGAGAACAGCAAACAAGAATTTTGCATGAAATGAAAGCAGACCAAAAGAGAATTGTGGGAGATGCAAAGCAAATCCTGTTAAAAGTTAACAAGCAGTACAAGAGAAACATTTGAACAAATGTTGGATTCAAATACAAAACCATTTACCATTTAAGTGCAAAGCTGAAGCCACAAATTAATATTCTTGAAACTCTATTCCTAGACTAAATAAAGCTCAAAAATAATACTGCTTGCTTTCACTGTACACATGTTCCACAGCATGTTGTAATAGCATTTGGTACAAACTTGTATGAAGTTGAGGTTTTAATCATTGGTTGCTGGTGCAATAAGATCTTAAAAATTCTTTAAGAGTTTGATGGTAATAAGACAGACAGTTAACAGACCAAAAAAAAAATTGTCCAAGCCTAGAAAACACTGATTTTCCCCAAGGTAAAACACTTCAGTCAATACAGCTGTCAGATATGTTCCCTTGCATTAATATAACAGAAGGTATAGACCATTAAACTACTGTTCCAATGGGACATCAGTACAGCAATAAAAACTATTACTTAAAGTCAGTATTTTGATTTTGCTACTCTGCATTTACTGCAAGATGACTCATGCCAAAGAAGTTGTTGCAGAAATAAACTGTGCCCTTTATTTCAAAGTACTGCTGCAATCACAGTTAAAACAATATCCAGTTCTCAGGACTGTACTAGTTAACCGAACTGCTGAATGCACCCCAACTGCCCACATTCTGTACTTCAGTCTGGCCATTGCTACTATCTCAGGTACTTCAGATTTACAGAGGTATCTACTCAAGAGTATACTTTGCGATGTGAATTTAAGTTCAGTATTTACAATTGATTCACGGAAATAAGATCAGAAATCTGGTTGTTCTCAATAGAAACCAAGACTGACATAATCTGATAATCTTCTTGTAATATTTATGCATTTAATATGCAAGCCTCTTAAAAGGAAAGATAGTAATTGCAATCGGTTCCAACTTAACCATGAAAAGTGAAAGCCAGATGAGTGACATTACCTTCACACAAACACTGTTTTCTGACCTCACAGGGAATACAAGCAATAAACATATGTATCAAAAAATCCCCCAGAAGTAATTGAAATAACTGGGACTCACTTTTCATAAGCAAAATAGTCGTTGACTTTTTGAAAGTGGATAAATTTGTATCAATTGAAGTATTCAGCAGATTAATCTTAATTAAAGCCTGCCCTAAAAATGCAAGATTAATCAGAATATACTGAAAACAACCACTTTTTATGCCACCAGCCCTCAGTTCCCAAATTCTTAGCAGTGCAACTGATGCGTTTTCTAGCCACTCTTTTCTTTTCTCACAATGAATCTTAGTAGTAAAAATGAAGCCATACAGTAGATAAAAGTTTTGTCTCATGTGCTTTATAGAAAATACTTGATTAGTTTTAGAAATGCTAAGGGTTCACTTGAATATGTTTACAAGAATTATGAAAGACCTTGTACATTTACCAGCCATAGGGTTCATAAGGAGTACCTATATGTATATTGATAGGAACTCATACCTATGTGCAATAGCTCAAAACTCCTACATTTAACTCAGTAATCCTGTGCACTGTGAATCTAAAGTTTAGGTGTTACACAATTCTTAACAACTGCTTTTCTTTTTTTCTTCTTTTCTCTATAAGCTGCTCTTAACAGATTAAAACAGAGCATAGTACTTCATCAGCTGAAAGAGATAGTACAAATGTTATCTTACACAGTTAAAATATCTTAGAAAGCACAGTTAAAGTGTATAAGCATAATATCGAAAACCAGATTCTCACATCAGCTTCACAGACGAATAAGAGTTCAGACATCATTGCAGCTATTCAAGTGAACCTTGTACTTGGAAATCCTGAACAGCAGTTTTGAGACACCATGGGAGACTAGTTCACTCATCTTGAAAAAAAGCATGTAACAGGACAAACAGTGCTGTGATTTCCTTGTCTTAGAACCATTGTTCTTTCTTATTCCTGAGTTTTCAACCCATTATGAGAGTAGCTTCATTTATTGAAAGAAAAACACAAACTGAGGAGTAACTTAATGTACATGTGACAAATAAAATATGATTTTCCAGGAGAACCACTGAAGGGAAACATGCATAAAAAGCCTGGTTTTCTGTTTGCATACAACAAAGGTTGGTTGCTGCATTTTAAGAAAAGCTACAAACTGGGAAGTTATCATCCCAGGAACTGCACCCAAGTTAGAAAAAGTGGGAATCAGAAGTATTTGCAAGCAATCCCCTGCTAACTCCTAAAGGCATAAAAGTTTGGCAAACAAGCATTTGCTGAAACACCCACTAATATTCACACTAATGAATGTCACAACCACCTGAAATGCCAGCACTCAAATGAGTCACACACCTGGCAGCCACAATGTTTTAATAGTTACCCCACAGAACCAGCCAAGGATTTGGAACACACAAAGCACCACTTCCATTCAGACCAAAATGACATCCAAAGTTGTCATATCTATTTTCTGGAACAGAACAAGTAATCAGGTATCCACTCAACACATGCAAGTAGTCAGCAAGGCAGTTCAAACAGTTCTGTATAGGTACTGGAGCGTACACTTCATACACTCTGGAAAAAAGACAAAACAGGCTTATCGAGATGCTCGCTTTGGAAGCTACAAACAGTTTACTGTAGAGGCATCTCTTGATCTCCCGTGAAGAACTTCATTGCAGAGTGCACTACGGAGACGCTGAGCTGACCATGCTTCTACTGACTCATCTGTTTCAAGCGACTCTTATGAAAAGACCGATGCTGCTCATGTTGTTTTGATCTACTGAGTTACACCTTCTTGTGTATTTTGAGACCTAGAATTACAGAATCTTACATTCTTTTAATCTCACCCGGGAAAAAATATATGGGGAGGGAACAAGAAGCAAGCAAGGATTTTTCTTGTTCTGCTTCTCTCTACAGTAGAGAACACAAGGGTAGTTAAAAAGTGCTAAGAGTGGTATCTGGCCTCATGGAAGCCTTATGGGAATTTCGGGGACCTTGATAAGGCCAGGATTTCAGGCTGCATTTTTCTTCCACAACTGCCACCTCAAATATGCAAACTGTTGGCTTTGCTAGCACAACTGTGTTTATTCAGCAGGTATGGTTTATAAAAGGAGGAGACTGGCTGTTTACTTTCATACTCTGATGAAGCTCAATGTCTAGTGGTTAAAAATTCAAGAAGGCTTGAGGAAAGGTGAATCTCAAGAGGGAGTCCAACCCAAAATTTTAAGCATGTGTCCTGTGTCCTATATGGTTAAGTTACACCCCAGTGTTTTACACAAGATAATAACTTTCTTATAAATAGATGAATTATCAATCAATATTTCATTTTTAAGCTGGCTTTCCTTTTTTCTTGGGTGGGCCTTTGTAGCCTTTGGCCTTTCTTCGCAAGTTTCTCCGATCTACGATGGGTACCTCAATTTCTGCTTCCTCAGAGCTGCTGTCAGCAGCCCGCTCCGCAGTTGTCTGTGTGTACTGATCCATCTGCTCAACAGACTCTTCTGAGTGCTCTTCCAACTGGCTTTTCTGTCCTTCCGGTCCCAAAGGCTGCTGAAAAGAAACACCCTCAAATTCAACCACTATCAAAGAGCTCTGATTCAAGGCAACGGGGGGCTCCTGTGAGTTTTGCCCTGCTTCCTCATTTTGATCTTCCAATGAGGAAGCCGTTTTGGGGGATACGTTTTCAGAAACAGATTCTTCTGCTGCTTCATTTACCACAGAGTTGGGCAGGCCATTGTCAGAGGGCTCTTCCTTTGATGCTGGAGGTGGTGCATTTTCAATTACAGACTTTTCAGATTCTTGCTCTTCTTCAGTGCTCTCCTCTACAAATGTACTTTCTTCGGTCAGCTCTTCTGAATCATTTGCATTTATAACCTGCAGGGGGAGGGAAAAGGTACCAAAAAAACCAAAGGGACACTTAATTGAAGATACAAGAGGCTGAACAACTACTGCCCCAAGCTAACAACCTTGGAGAATATTATGGCATTCAGGAATTTTTAGTACTACATGTACAGTCAAACCAGTCTTTTTTGCACAAGACTATTTTGTGAACTGCACTTGATACCTAGAGTTGCTCTCCTATTTTCAAATTCAAGTTATTGAAAGGATTATTCAGGTACAGGAAAAACATTCTGGAATTAATCCCACAGGGAAAAGAAAAGTTTTTATTTTAGATATATACAATTACCACTTTGCTAGCATATAACAATCTGCTTTTGCACTATAAACAAAAAACAATAAAATCTGTATTCTGTAAGGGTATCTTACCAGTAATTAATTGCTTGTACACTTCACCAGGGCAGAATTACCAGACAAAATAAGAATGCGGCTTTTCACTCGTATCCAACTAATATTTCAGTGAAAAATAGTTGTTTCATTACTGCCAAGGGAAACTGGAGCAACGTATCTTTCTTTTTGGTATCACAGGAATATATTTACACGCACTGCTTCGGCATAATAGACCTGAAATGTCAGTATATTCTGTTTATGGATTTACATCATCTGGCCTAATAAATGCTTCTCCCAAAAACTTAGTAGGATGGTAGGTGCTACTTTCTATCTGTTGCTTAACAAAAGTTAAGCAAGATATGTACATTCTGAAGAAAAGATGAGTTCATATTTTATTTCAATTGTCTCACCTTCTCTGATACAGTGTCTTCTGCAGGTTTTGCCGGAGGCTCAAGGATTAACGGAACAAACAGTGTTAAGGGTTCTTCTCCTTGACTCTCAGATTGTAATTTCAATTCACCACTTAGAACTTCATTTGCTGTTTCCTCTTCAGCCGTAAGTGAGGTCTTACCAGTTTCCTCTGTTACCTCACCATTAAGAGGTTCTGATGGAGTTTCCTAAAAATCACATTTCTAAGTCAAGATTATGCCCAGCCATTGTTCCTCAACATTAGTGGGTGAATCTGTGATGTAAATTTGCCACTTAATGTGAGAAGCTCAGGCACCCAGAAATGTGTACTAATAAAACACAGCTTAGTGCAGAGTAGGTAACTTAACCAGCATATTAGCTTGGTACTGTCATCTGCACTAAATTTCTGACCGTGTCTCATACTGTTAGGAGTCCAGCCAAGCAGTTTTTATGCATCTCACAAGCATACAGGCTGCAGTCATCCCTTGATCACATAGTGCAAGATCCACTTTCTCACTGATCAGTAAGAGCCTAAAACCCTGGGAGCATCACTAGGCACAAAGGGTACTCACAGAATTCAAGCTGTTAACAAGTTGTAGATAAAAGTTGGATTTAAACATCAAAGCAAGTAAGCTTTAAGTGGAGAAGTAAGAAGAGCCAACAGTAGTCACTGAAGCATACCAGCTATTGACTTCTTCAAAGGAAGTTTTCTTAAAAAACTGGAGACACTGGATCAGAGCTTGACCTTACTCCAGTTCTCCAAAATATGCGAGTAGAAGAAATCAATTAAGAGAATTAGGTTAGTAGACAAGCTAGAAATTCACCTTACTGAAGATTCTGTGAACTCTATTGTTCAAAATAAATATAACGGAATATTCCCTGAAGCTAATTCTATACTAGCCTTAGCTTCTCAGATATACTTCTCAGTGAAGCATCAGTACAAAAAAAAAATATCTAAGAATTGATAGTTACATGGATCAACATAGCATATTTAACAGAAACTGTAATTGTATTCCAAACATAATTGCTATCACATCCAGCTCACCTCCTTCTCACTCTGTTTCTCAGGGGGTGACACATGTAGCTCTGCTTCTGATGCAGACTGGCCCTCATTTTCAACAATCGTTTCCCCATCCTTCTCAACAATATTGTCCTCAGGTATTTCTATTAAGTCTTCAGAGCTTTCAGATGTGTGGGCAGGAAGTTCCACCCTGTAGCAGGTATTAAGATATATCCTTTAATCCTTTAGATTAATACATAATTTTGGTGATCTCAAAAGGAAAATTCTTTCACGACCAATTATAAAGTACTGTATCACATGCTTGCCATAGGAAATAAGAATCCAGAAAACTAAGTACATCTAAGAAATGGCTAACTCATAAGGGGAAAAAACCTAAACATCAACTAGGAAAAATTGCTTTGATAACTATAAAATACAGATATCTCACTTCCATTTTATGGGAATAAAAGTTAGACATTTGTTTGTTAAATATAGAAAGTAGTAATCCATTACATATTTGGAAGCCACAAAGGGGTGAATAACAAAGCAACTTCTCCCATCCACCACTACACGAACAGTTTAAGATTATGGAGTTATAGAAGCAAATAAATCGTATAATCATTGAATATACATATATTACAAAGACCATGACTGGAAAATAATTCTAGGAAATAAAATCATGATGGCTGAAGATTCAATCAGCTAGAGATTAAATTAGCCAGCAGCTAAAGATGAAGCTCTGATGCACCTGGTGGGCATTAACACCATCTCAAGCATTCAGTTCTTATTTTTGAAATGATAAAACTTAGATGAAGTGGAAATACTACACACAAGCAAAGAAAAAAGTACATGCAATAGATTTGCAGGAGACTGCTTCACAATCTCACAGTAAAGGCAATACTGGAGAGTTTTATCCCAGATGCCACTATTCAGATGAAGGCACTCCACAGGGGAAAGTTCCTGACAGAAGACCCTGCTGCATTTGCTAATGTGCATGAAAGGAGAGAACCCTGCCCTGTTGCCACCCTGGTCTATTCCCCTTAGCTCTGCTGACAAACACCATGTTACACATCTTGTTCAAAGGTGCAGTGGCACCTCGTTGACTTCATTTTGCAAGGCACAAAATACTGACACTCAATAACAGGCTAGTCTTTTCACATACCAACTAGCCAATTATTAGTAGTAACAGGGCAAAAAATTTAACCTGTGGCAGGATCAAACCATGCCATTTGGCTGCTCTGAACCAGCTTAGGGCCATACACTAACAGTGCAGGACAGCAGTGCTGTATCTTCATAGTTCCACAGAGCAATTTAAACATAAAAATTTGGCTGCATCTAGCTAAAGACCTCAGTTTTACATGAAAAAACTCCCCACAAAACAACCCAAACCAAAAAGCCCCAAACTAGTTTTATTTAAAGAAACCTAATGAAACAAGTTTGAGGGATTTCCTAGAAAAATAACCAGGTTATCTTCAGTTCTTCAAAAGAAGGTTTTCCAGCTTGCAGTGGGGGTTTTTTGGAAGAGAATGAGAGAGGGAGAGAGACAGACACAGGGTGAAGGAGTGGGGAGCGTGTGTCCGTAAGTGTACATATACTCACAGTATGGGGGAGGAAAGAGCCATTTACCATTTATTAATTTATTTAAAATAGCCACCGTTCTGCTTTCTGGAAGGAAGCCAGTACAAATTAGTACTTCAGGGCCTGTTTGGATGAATCGTTATGGACTCAAGTGGCACAATTCTTCACATCCCCATTTGACAATTATTACACAGGATAACATCCTTTAAACTGAAGATGACTTTTTTCCTCCTCCGGGATCTAAGTTTGGATATGATGGTTCTAAATCAGAATTTGTCTAAACAAAAGACTGGACTTTGAAGACCAGCAGCTCCTATCTCTTTTGTTATTAAGTGTCAAGCAGTAACCGTCTCTCAGACTAAACCACCAGACCTTATTTAACTGCAATATGCCACCATAACAAGAGGTCAGGAAGGGACAATTCTCCAAAGATCACACATGGCATTGTCAATACATGTCCAGTTTCATTATTGCAAGAAACTATGCTCCATGAATACTGATGGTTTTACATACAGACTCCGTTATCATAGAACATCCTCAGCCTTCACTGTTTTCTTATTTCCACTGTCTGCTAAGGTTTCAGAGAGACGACATTTTGCAATCACTCTTCAGGTGATGTCTCAATTTTCTCTCTCACATTGGGCTTTATTTTCAGAAATTTTAAAATCAAGAAAGTAGGAAGAAAGGAGAAGAAATACCCAGTAACACACTGCGAGACACTGATGTAGTTTGCAACTGCCCATGCAACAAAATAAGAAATCAGTAAAATATGGGCTCCTCTACCTGCTTTCTGACACACAAGGAGCATTTTCCTCAACTCCTTTGGAAGTTTCAGGTGGAGATTCCTTGCCATTTTTTCTTATCCTGGGACGTTTTAGATGACTGCTTCGTGTCCAGATGGGAACAGGAGCTGCATCTGGGTCTTAGGAAAGAAAAAATGTTCCAACAAAATAAATGCAAGTAAACAAATGCATTCTAAGGTCTATCTGTGCGTAATTTCCCCCCCCCTAATATTTCATTAAAACAACTGAGTGTAAGTAAAAGAACATTTCACTGTGCCTTTTTTTTTCTGAACACATGCATAATATCTTAACCAAGACTCCTAACAATTTTATCTAAAGTAATCTATAAGATTTATGAGTTAAGCCTCTGCACCTTAGAAGGCATGTTTTTATACACTTTGCAGATGAATATGATAAGATTGAAAGCAGTAAAAGACCCTGCTAACCTATTAATTGACAGTAATCGCAGTACTGATAATCAAGGTTATTTTTACCTTCAGATGTGCTTGCATCAACCTCTGTTGATTCTTTACTTTGAGATGCAGCCTGTGAAGAAAAAGCAAAGCTAATGTTATTCCAAAACCTTCTGAATTGATTTCAATACTTTCATCTCTCTATCTGTGGCTGCAATCTCTTTCTAAAGCACTTGCTATTTCATAGAATCATAGAATTGTCTAGGTTGGAAGGGACCTTTCAGATCATCTAGTCATGGAACAGCAGCTACAACCATTCTTAATGCAAGATATTTACATGCAAGTATCTTATTTCTCAATTTATTATTTACTATTTTCATTACAAGGATCAATGTTTTTTCTGCATTTTACTTCAACATAGAAGATAAGTCTTAAAAGTAACTTGTCATTATAAACAACACTACCAAGTTTTTTTCCTAACCATTCAATTTATAACAGGTATCTACATAAATTAAGTGCTAGAAGTCTTTTCTTTTGTTTCTCCTTTCTGTATAAACCCTAGGGACTCCACTACAGTTGCTGACAAAAATCTAACAGGAAAGTTATTTTTAAGTTTTTGTTTTACTTTAGTCTTTTTTTTACTGTGGCATGCAACAGAGTATGGCAGCCCATGTTAAAAAAAACCATCAACTAAGAAAAAACAAAACTAAGCGATTCAGCAGTAATGCTGGTTATATACACAGTCAGCACAAGAGGCTGCTTATGTCATAGTTCCTTCTCCCTAGAGCTCTCTTGCCTCTTGTTCTTCCCCACCATCCCAGTATTTCCATTTTTTCCTCAAGTTAGCTAAGGACTCAGTGATCAAGCATTTGATACTCTGAACTGGTACAACCTGTACACTTCATTTTAAAGTTATATCTTCTTTCTTAGCTCCTGGAAGTCATCTAGAACTGGCAATAACCAGCATTCAGGTTTTCTGTTGCCTTTCCAGCCTCACTTCCAGTACTATCCAAGAATGTCAGCAAAAAGTGGGCACATCTAGATTCTGCTGCTTGAAATAGTTTCAAGTGAGTTAAGTAAGAATTTGTAGACTATTAAGTTATTCTAGCACCAAACCAGACAAAACAGGGATCATTAAGCTAAAGGTGAAAATGAAAGTTGGGGAATATTTTTGCTGGTTTGGGCAAAGGTGGGGTGTTTTATTTTGTTTGGTGGTCCAAAAGTTTTCAAAGCACTGCAGAACTGCTTATAGATATTGCAGGTGCCAAGACGACAGCTGCCAGCAATTCTACCAAGCTATGAGGAGTTGGAGCACTTTGGTATCTACCATCTTCTTGAGTTCTTAATACAGCAACAAAAATTGTAAAAGCTACTATCCCTCTGCTGTCATCTACAACTATATCCATATAGCTGTAGAACCAAAACACTTTTTTTAGGTAGTTTTGCTGATATGATCACTACTGGAATCTGAAACTAAAAATCACTGATAATGCTCAAGATACTGTCACAAACAGAATCATAGAATGTTTTGGGTTGGAAGGGACCTTAAAAGATCATTGAATTCCAAGCCCCCCCTGCCACACGCAGGGACACCTCCCACTAGACCAAGTTGTTCAAAGCCCCATCCAGCCTCACCTTGGAACGCTTCCAGGGATGGGGCATCCTCAACTTCTCTGGGCAACCTGTTCCAGTTTCTCACCACCCTCACAGTAAAGAATTTCTCTCATATTTAATCTAAGTCTCCCCTCTTTCAATTTTAAAGCATTACCCCTCGTCCTATGACTACACTCCTTAATAAAGAGTCCCTCCCCATCTCTCCTGTAGGACCCCTTCAGGCACTGGAGAGCTGTTACAAGGTCTTCTCAGAACACTGCCTTCTCCAGGCTGAACAGCCCCCAAGTCTCTCAGCCTGTCTTCATAGGAGAGTTGCTCCAGCTCTCTGAACATCTTCATGGACCTCTTCTGGGCCGGTTCTAACAGTTCCGTGTCCTTTGACTCCAGAGCTGGATGCAGTACTCCAGGTGGGGTCTCACCAAAGAGCAGAGGGGCAGACTCACCTCCCTCGACCTGCTGGCCACAATTCTCTTGATGCAGCCCAGAATGCTGTTGGCTTTCTGGGCTGTCAGCTTACATTGCCGGTTCATGTTGAGCTTCTCATCCACCAGCACCCCCAAGTCCTTTTCCTCAGGGCTGCTTTTAATCCATTCTGGGCTTATGAAATGGAAGACAACTATGAATTGTTGTTCCCGGTAATTTAGAGACTAAAAATATCACTACTTTGCTGTCAGTTTTGCTTTGGAAAATGCAACTTTCCAACTGGGAAAAGCAATATTTGACTTACATTTCAAATGTGAAGTGTAGATACTAAAAGCGGAGAGTATCAACTGAGATATTATCTCCTGTTTTCAATTAAAGCATTGACTTCTATGACAGTACAGTCACGCCAATACCACAGACAGTTCTGAAGCACACAAATCCATGCTCACTGTTATTTGGAGCTCCAAGTTATTCTCAAGCACATTCTGTGTGGGCTCAGAACACAAATGAGATAGAGCAACAGCTTTGTAATATTCACAGACACAAATATATTCATGACCACATATCCATATGTAGCTGAAATCTGACTGATACTTCAAATACATACAAAGAAAGCTGCAGTCCTATATGGACAATGTGTAACTCTGAATGCAAACTAAACACTTTCCATTGTATTGAACTGTGATATGAATGTGCACTTCTATAAAAATGTCTCTCCATTCTCTCCACTCTTACAATGATTCTACTGTTCAATAGCCTTTCTAGACTCTTTAATCTCAGGGCCAGTTGAAATACTCTCCCCTCCTCTAAGCTGCTAGCACACAGCTCAAATTATAGACCATGACACCTATACCACAAATGCTCTATATTCACAGGGACACCCCACCAACCCACAAAAAAAAAAAAGTATTTTTAACCCCAGCTTAGTCATCGATGTTACAGCAGTGGATAGAATAACATCCACCCAAAAAAGTAACAAAAGCATCTATCTTTATACAAAGTGCCCACTTGAACCAATTCAATTATAATGAGATGGACAAAAGCATTTCTCATACCTTGGGGATTTTTTTTCCAGTAACAATGCCACCAAAAAAAAAAAAGATATATCCCTTTCTGGTAAAAGCCATTGGTTCTGTCAGACTGGCTGCAAGAGAAAGTACAAACTCTCTACATAACCCAGGACTGTTCTTTGAAACCTTTGAGAAATAGAAATATCTAGCAAGCATAACACAGTTGATCAAACTTACTGATGTGCTGAAACCCTTAATTTCTTAAGCTCAGAAATGCATTCTTTTGTAGAAATTTAAAATATTTACTGAATATGAAGAACAGGTAATTAAAGTCAGAAGACTAGGACAAGACATTACATGAGCATAGAAAACTTAAAAGCTCTCAAGCCTTTTTGATCAAAGAATTGTTTAGGTTGGAAGAGGCCTTTAAGACTATTAAGTCTAACCATTAACCTAGCACTGCCAAGTCTACCACAATCATGCCCATAAGCACCACATAGAATCATAGAATCATTCAGGTTGGAAAAGACCCTTGGGATCATGAAGTCCAACTACTCTACATAGTCCTCCCCTACACCATATCTCTCAGTACCCCATCTAAACGTCCCTTAAACACATCCAGGGATGGTGACTCAACCACCTCCCTGGGCAGCCTATTCCAATGCCCGACCACTCTTTCTGTGAAAAATTCCTTCCTAATGTTCAGTCTAAAGGAACAGTGACTCAACCACTTCCCTGGGCAGCCTATTCCACCACTTGACAACTCTTTCCAGGATAAAATTCTTCCTAATATCCAATCTAAACCTTCCCTAGTGCAACTTGAGACTGCTTCCTCTTGTCCCATCACCTGTTACTTGGGAGAAGTGACTGACCCCCACCTCTCTACAGCCTCCTTCCGGGTAGCTGTAGAGAGCGATAAGGTCAGCCTCCTTTTCTCCAAGCTAGACAACCAAGTTCCCTCAGCCACTCCTCACAGACTTGTGCTCTAGACCTGTCACAAGCTTTGTTGCTCATCTTTGGACATGCTCCAGCACCAAAATGTCTCCATAGTGAGGTGCTCAAAAATGAACACAGTAATATAGGTATGACAATCTGTGTACCTACACTTGGCTGTGTTTCTAGATCAGTCTTCTGTCCACTAGCTTCAGATACTGCTGCAGACTGCTGAAAATTACTGTCTGCTTGGGAACTCTCTTCTTCCTGTAAGGCTTCTGCTGTTAAGATTTAAAAGAGGAAACAGGAAAATAGAAAGTTACAGTACCTTTATACAACAATTAACCATTACAAGTATGATCTCAAAGATCTCAGGACAAATAAAATCTTTCTGTTCGTTTTCATGGGCAGTGTTCACAGCAGTCACTGTTGAACTTGTAGAGTGTTTGTTCAACTTTTACAAAGTGTCAGAAAACAACAAAAAAGCATCCATACCTTCCATTTTGAGCTTCTTTTCATTTTGCAGCATAGCCATAATATTTGATCTCTGGAACCAACATCCTGGTCCCTCCACTTCCCACAAAAGTTTATGATCCCCAGGGTACTTCTCAAGATATTGCTTACAAGCTGAACAAACATAAGAAAAACCACTATATTACACATACTATATAGTTGGCTGTATGTCAGTTTTTAAAGTTATTATCTTAAACTGCAAACAAAGATGGATGGGATTTTCTTCTTCTCTAAGCACCCACTTGAGTTTTACAACTTCACTGGTCACTGTCCCTGCCAATCTCAAGACCCAAGCCAGGATGGAAGGGCTCTCAGGCAGAGGATATAGTCAAGTGATTTTTGCCACCCCATGTTATTATACACACTCATGACAAGTACTCTTTGAGAACGCAAACACATCATCATTGCACGGTTTATCATTAACCCACTGTTCACTTCTGGAGTATTTTCTTCTTTGCTGTCCCTCCACCTCTTTTCTCCTTATACATATACATGTACTAAACATCCATGTGGAGAGGCATGCTTTGACATTATTCTGTAGCAGCTATGAAGAAAACTACCATTGTTCACCTGACTCACTACTGATGCATAATCTCAGTGGACAAGATCCCCTGAGCAGGGAAATAGATTAGTCATTAAATTCTAATAAATTTGCTACTTTAAGCTTAACAAACCACATCTAGTCAGATTCAACAACAGACAGTGGTACTTGGAAAGGCAGAAAATGTGCAGTGGCTAAGGCAGCCAGATGAAAATGTTCATGGAAAGAAACCTGGCAGATGACCTAAGAGTTAAGACAAGCCTTGAGAAACAGGGCAAAGGAAATGTGCTTCTTGCCTGAAAACTGTCCCAAGCAATATTGTTTCCAGGATGCGTGCCATTTCCTAGATAATATAACCCTATTGGGGTGCTAACAGAAGAGACAGTGTTTTCCTCATATATTAGAATTGTGCCGTCTCACCTCTAAGTTAAAACATAGCCTAGTATGTGCACTTGACCTGAAGTTCTGAGAAAGCATGAATTAAATGACATCGTGACACTTGGGAGCAAGAAAAAGGTGCTACAAAGACAACACACATTAGATCACACACAGAAACGCATCAGCCCACACAGTAGCAGCAAACCAACAGAGATCCAATAATCTAATGTATAGGATTAAAAATCTTATCAGGAACTACTTTCACCTTGAACAAATCAGAATTTTTAACCTTCACTGAAGAGCAGAACGTTTTATATAAAAACTGATCAAGCAGCCAGAAACATGGATCTTGAATGACAACACTCTTTTGGACACTTAAAGAAAGCACAAAGAATAGAAGAATAAATTAAGGAGATTGCCTGTGTATGTGAAGGACGACAGCGGGTATCGCAAACCGAGAGGGCCTTCAGTAAAGGATTTCACAAAGTCTTCCAATATGATTAGCCCAGAGTCTTTCCCACGATGCTTCTTTCTCACAAATATTGTGTCTAGCACTGGCAGACAGTAAGTCTGACTGCGATAAGTGCTGCAAACACTTCCTGAAATAATAGGAGGGGGGAAAATATCAATCACTACTTCAGCATTGACATGCTGCAGCATAGATTTTAGTATATTCAAATAAAGACTTTTATAATTTATAACATTCATAAAAAAATTGCTGTCAGCCATTTATTGGATCTTTGGGCAAGCTTCATAATGTTGCAAAGGTATATTAATAGATTAATATGTTAAAGAAAGTCTGTAGTACCAGAAAAGAATAGCAGAGATGGAGAGGAAAGGCTCACTTTGAAATCTCACTACGTAATTCCATAGGAAATCCACACTAAAAATAAAGCTGAAAGAGGGAGGAGGGAAAAGGAGACAAAATTCTTGAATTGCGCCTTTATGTAGACTATATCACTCCTCGGGACAGATAGGAGGATTATAAATCAGCTCTTGTTTGAAGACTGGAACAATAATTCCAATTTTTTAGCTGAAACCACAAAAAATCTTAAGACACTCTACACTGGAATTTCCCCATAAAAGATACATTATCTTTAACTAAACAAAGATGAAATACACAGTCACAACACAAGTACTTCAGTATCAGAGGATTCACAGGGTAGCTGTGGACTCAGTGGTGACAAAGGGATGCCATATAATGGCATTGGATAGCCTTTCAACTATCCAGTCTATTTTCAGGCCCTTGATTTGAGAGTCAGTGTGAACCACACCAAGAATTGCCCTTTCCTCTAACAGGGCCAAAGAGAAGCATACAGTTGTCTATACAACTTAGTTAGTCTTTGCAACCTTGAACTTTTAAGATCAGTGAATATATTTATCTTCATTTTTCAAGCAAGGAAAAGGTGGGCAGAGATGTTACATCACTCAAGTACCCTTCAGGATATCAGTCAAGCTCCACCACTCTTTCCTCACTGTTTCCAAAGCTGTGTTTCTCCACAAAGACTATTCATTTGGAGAATACAGCACACAATCAAACATGGGTTAAATATTGATAATGCCTAGAAAGTTTAGCCTTCAGTGTTTACTTGTCCTGAGTTAGCAAATGAGAGGGCATGATGAGAAATTTAACAGTTGCATTAGTGTAGCAGAACTTCAGTGCCACCTACAGAAGTGCCCCCATTCTAGACTAAAAATAGAACCACTACTCAAATTTCCACAATAAGGCCACAACAAAAACCACTGCAATGTACATACTATTTCATGACCACCACACTACAGCAATTTTGACATTAAAAATACTGAGTCTAATACAAATTATAAAATGCATTATTTCTTTAAAAAAGAAAAAGAAAAAAACACAAGAAGATAACAAAGACAATCAGAACAAATTAGCTGGTTGCCTTCCCATCTTGATTGCCAGATCAGATAGGCCATTGAGCCAAGCAGTTGATTATCTTATTATTTTAACAGTTTGCAAAGACACATATGTAAGTCGAGGAAAGCCTCCATTTAATCCTAAATTAGTTAACCCCCTCTAGGAGAAACAGTCTGGCTTTGTTTCATCTCTTGATCCAGATATTAATGTTCTACAAAGTGCTAACTGTGGTAAACAGACTACCCAAACACTATATTTTATTCAATATTTAATGAAAAACACAATAAATTGCAAAATAAGTAAAGGGAAATTATTATGATTAACAGAAAAATGGAATAATTCAATTGTAATCTCCTTCCACACATTTTGTCAGAAAGGGAGTATCTTGTTATTGTTAAGTGTAGCTAAATCTTGTGCCTGTGAACAAAGTTTCTATGCTGTTTGCTATAAAATTATAGAATACCAAGTTGGAAGGGACCTCAAGGATCATCTGGTCCAACCTTTCTTGGCAAAAAAAATGGTCTAAACAAGCTGGCCCAGCACCCTGTCCAGTTGAATCTTAACAGTGTCCAATGTTGGGGAATCCCCCACTTCCCTTGCGAGATTATTCCAAGGGCTGATTGTTCTCATTGTGAGTAACTTTCCTCTTATGTCCAATCAGACTAACTTGTATCAATTACCCCTCTTCTTTTCCCTGTGACTCCTTGTAAAAAGGGAGTCCCTATCTTCTTTGTAGCCATCCTTTAATCACTGGAATGTGATGAAAAGGTCTCCCGTAAGCCTTCTCAAAATGTCCAATGTTGGGGAATCCCCCACTTCCCTTGCGAGATTATTCCAAGGGCTGATTGTTCTCATTGTGAGTAACTTTCCTCTTATGTCCAATCAGACTAACTTGTATCAATTACCCCTCTTCTTTTCCCTGTGACTCCTTGTAAAAAAGGAGTCCCTATCTTCTTTGTAGCCATCCTTTAATCACTGGAATGTGATGAAAAGGTCTCCCGTAAGCCTTCTCAAAACTGAACAAACACAATTCTCTCAGCCTTTCCTCATATGGCAGGCTTCCCAGTCCTTCCATCATCTTGGTTGCCCTTCTCTGGGCCCTCACCAGCCTGTCCACATCTTTTCTTCATAGCAGGGACCAAAACCGAACACAGTATTTCAAGTGTGTGTGACAAGTGCTGAGTAGGGTAGGATAATGACTTCCTTATGTCTGCTGGTGATGCCCTTGTTGATGCAACCCAGCAAGGCGTTGGCTTTCTTTGCTGTTGCAGCACACTGTTCACTCACATTGAACCTCAGGTCCTTTTCCACAGAGACGTTCCCCAGCCAGGTTTATGGATTATGTTTTCCCAGGTGACAGCCCTTACACTTGTCTTTGCTGAACTTAAGGTTCATAAGACTTCATAATGTTTAAGTGATTATCCTGGTTTCATCTGGGATAGTTAGTTTTCATCCTAGTAGATGCAGTTTTAGATTTGATATGAGAATAACTTTGACAACACATTGCTTTAGCTGTTGCCAAGTAATGTTCATATTAAGTCAAGGGCTTCTTCAGCTTCACACAGAAGCTGAGAGGGAGCACAGACAGAACAAGCTGGCCCAAGGAGTCTTCCATACTATAGACATCATTTTCAGGATATAAATGGGGACTGTCTAGGGGCAGAAATCCATATTCATTGCTCAAGACAGGCTGGGCAATCATTCATCATGTAGCGAGAGCAGTTGTATGGCACCACTTATTTTGCATACTCTCTTACCATTACTACTATTTTTTTTCCTCTTCTGTTACTGTTTTATTAAACTGTCTTTATGTCAAACCATGAGATTTTTTTCCTCTCTTTTCCTCCTTCTCCTTACCCTACCGGGTAGTTGTGGGGAGTGACTGAATGGCTGTGTGGTCCTAGTTGCCAGCAGGGTTAAACCATGACAGTGATAACAACATCTGATTCTACAATCATTTAAAATAAACAGGATCTCTGCATTCTGGAGCTATGCAAAAAACAAAAAAAAAAATCACCACAAACCAAAACAACCAAAGCACAGCCCAATTCAACTGTAAACAATTGTCCTCCAGAAAAAGAGAATAAAAAAAGCTTTTGAGTATCTCATTTCTACAGTTTTAAATATATTTTGTAGAATGTGAAGAAATGTAAGAACTTCCTTAGCTTGCCAAAGCACATAAGCATTTAAGCTAGAAATTTTAACTGCAACTGACCTCTTACGATTTCAGGAAAACACCAACTCATTACGTGTACAAGGCTTATAAAATCCACTACATACAATATTCCTCAAACTCTGTCTCTCCGCTTTATCCCCAAAGCCCACAACACTCAAGTGTTTTACCTTTAGGTTTAACAGAATAGAAGCCAATAGCCTCTCCTTTTTTCCACAAGATCTTAGCGTAGTCATTGCTACCATGACAGAGAAATGGGATCTCATTGCTTCCCATTTCTTGTGTCCGATAGATAATTCGATTCAGAACATAGAGAACAATCCTCTCTCCAACGGATTTCACCTAAGGAAACAGAACATTTAGAAGAGTGGTCAGATTAGTTAATACTCTCAGATCAGGAACCTTATTTTTCAAAATTGCCAGTTAATACAGCCATAGATGGAGTCAAGAGAAGCTGTAAATGCTAAAGCAGGATGAAGCTCTTGGGTTTGAGGGCAAGGAGATGATCAGAAGCCATAGCCATGGGTTAAATATAAAGCACTACCATAAACAGAGGGTATTTCACAACTTTAATGTCACTTGTAATCCTATGGGTAAAAGCTAAGAAGTGCTGGTAGTGGGGCACTAGGTGGGATTTATTTTAACTCAAAACTAATTTTGGATTTAAGAAACATTCGTCAAACAACAGCAGTACACCAGCTTCAGAATTCCCACGCTAGCAGGTAACTGGAGTCCTACAAAGAAGAAATGATGAATCCCACAGGGTAACAGGACTTGGCACACTCAATCACTGCTGATAGTGGCAGACATCAGGATATGATGCAATGGAAGAACTCGTTAAAACAGTTTCTGTGGCATGGAACTAGGAACTCAATATCTTTTTCTCCTTCCTGCTGGGTCCCCTTTACGTATGAAATATAAGTACACCACTCTACTACCCACTATGAAGGAAGAACGGAGGAGCCATGTTCTCTTCCCAATCCCCATGTTCTCTTCTCTCAGCTACTCTACCTGTAGAAGATTTACCTTTCCTGATTTAATCACCACTGGACATGGAAAACAAGGCTACATATCAAATTCTCTAGAATAATTTAAGAAATACAAAAATCAAAGATGAGTGCTCAGATTCCATGAGCAGGTAGATAGAAATCACACTCCTGGAAAAACAGATTTCCAGTTTTGGAAAAAAATTAAAACTCCATGCTACATAGATGTCAGTAGTGGTAACAAAGGTCAATGATAAAACATTTAAACAGACACCAAGCAACTAACTTTCCCAAACCTCATGTATTGCCACTGCAAGACACTAGCCCCCACTTGCCTCTATCAAACTGGTTGCCAACAATTTTTTCACCTTACTAATCTCCTGGTAAGACCAACAGGTACTGCTATGGTACACCGCACCATTCTAAGACATTTCAATACAACCAAACATAGGATGCTCTAAAGAGTAAAGAAAAAACTCTTAACATCATTAACATCTAAATAGCTTGCATATGAAGCTATTCTTTGAAGACACTCTTGCTCCAGATATTCTCTTCCCAACCAAGTTCCCTTTTCTATAGTACCTATTCCTCTATTCCTATTGACCTTGCACTCTAGCTGTTTGCCATTATCTTCAAAGATAAGAATAATCGCTAGGTGAATGTTGGTGCGCTTTACCTGATGAAGCCCCTGTCTAGCAGGGATAGATGTTCTCACAATGTCATCAATTGACCACCACTGGCCAGCAAGATACAGGGCTACAGCTTGAAAGAAACAAGGGGAAATAAGAAGTTAGTGATTCTTACCATTCCAAAAGAAACATATTCATTAAAGCTGCTAAACAATTAGGAATAACACTGTAAAACCCAAGTTAAGCACCTTCTAGTTGGCACTATATTAATGTAGCTCTTACCACCCTATCACATCAGATGCAGTGCTATACACCCTCCCATATGCAATGCTTCCTAGTCCAACACTTGTTTGAAAACTGAAACAATAAAACCAAACACAGATTTTGTGCAGTATGACATCCAGACACTGTTTTTCAGACATAACCACTACCCTTCACCACTGTGCTCTAGTACCTCCTTCCACTAAAAACTAGGCCTGCCAAGCAGAGTCTCATTCATACATGTGCTGTAGTTTTGGGTTGCTAATGGATATTGATACTGAAACTGTGCAAGTTTTAGGGAGTCAGATGAATGTAAAAAGGCCGATGGCCATGGGATTAACAATCAGGAAGAATTTCATCTACGGGCATTTGTGGCAAACTTGGCAATCTCATACATGGCATCAAATGGAAACAGAAGGAAACGTGAAAGACTGGAAGGGAAGAGAGAAAGGGAGTAAAAACCCCCTAAAACCAGTGAGATGTCACTTTAACCTGTTAGGACTTAGGAGCTATGTTAGGACTTAAAGCTAAAGACAAATTTACACTTGATGCTAATCAATCACTGCTAGTAAAGGGCATCTAAATTAAAGGGCTTCTATGAATGCTCAATAAATTCCTTTTGGAGAAGTGATGTGTACATAAAGAGATACAGAGATCAAGATTCAGATAAGCACCTTGTTATTTTGCTACATATCTTCTGAATTCAATGGGTCCAGTTCTACTTTAACTACCATGTAAAGTTCTACCATTCAGGTGTATGAATCCACAACAAAAATAATAGTAGGGGAACAAGAACACAATCAACAACAAATGCAGAAGTGGCAAAGTTATGAGGTACACTAGCATGGAATGAGCAAGGGCCTGGTTACATGTATTTGTCACAGAAAAAGAAACAGCAACAGCAACATATGGATTAAAATCTTAAAATGAAACCTGTGAGCAAGTCTCCTGGTGCAAACAAGGCAAGAAGTTTGTGTGTCTGTTCTTCACCATAAAGAGGAACGAAGCCCACAGTTGTCAACCTAATAGGAATCTGAAACAAGAGTGTACAATACTTCAATAGACTCTTCCTAAAACAACACTAGTAAAATATACAGAGAATGTTTAGCAGGGTAAGCAAGATGAGTATTGAAAACCAAGTGCTAAACAGTTAACTGAACTATAAAGGACAAGCATCAGACCCCAGCTCTTTAGACATTTCTTCCTAAAGACAGACTACATTACAAAGAGCTCTGGCAGCTTTAGCTACAGTAATTAATACTGTTACAGCTCTCTACTGTTGGCAGTTTGCATTTATGTGCACAACTGAAGTAAGGTGTACAGAGAGCCAGAAGCATGTTCACTTCAACTGCCCCAGCTGTGCAAGCTGTCAAAGCCAACAGAAGAACAACGCAGGCAGCCAAGCACAGAAATAAGCTGATACAGCAAAACTGCTGTTTGTTAACACGATGTGCTAAGCTGGGAATGCTGGATTCAAAAGGTGGGGGTTTTTTTCCCCTTAAATTGCACACATTTTAGAAATTCCAAGGTTGTCTGCTTGATTTCCCGTCAGGAACAACATGAGAAGGGTAAAAAAATCAATCCACCTTTCAGGATTTGAGTACTTTTGTGGAAATGCATGTTGACATTTAAATTCACATGTTTTCAATATTTAATTAATGCATAAAAACTAGACAGACATTAATGGTGTGGTAAATAGACTTCCTTACCCAGTTTAAGAAGATTACGATATGCTATACCACAAACAAGGATTATAATACAAATATTTAGACAAACAGCACCTGCAGAAATGCAGAAAATACTTAAGACTCTGCTTTTGCCAAGGAATCTGCAGCATTGACCTTTTTTCCCATAGAGAATCCTCTCAGGTCACTTATTATTCATTAAAGTTATACCCCATTGCTTTTATTGGTACTAGTTCTACTAGAAACACTGATCTAGACAGATCCAACACTGACCAGCTTATCACACAAGGGGTAAGTGTTAAAAATAAGAAATGTTACACCCAGCCTTTACTACAGCTCCTAACAGCAGAAGGGAATAATATTTCAGATAAAAAGAAAAGAACAACCTCTTTAATTAGTGAAACTTGCTGATCATGAGCTGAACCTAACAATGAAGAACACTGAAGGACTGAGATACTGAAGCTAACTGGCTCTTTTTGTAAATTATGAATCCCTTAGTTATGATGACAGACTTTTTGACTGCATGAGTTACTGCTCTACAGGAAAACGTTTGACTCTTCAGTTAAGATTTTAACTTTTTTTAAAACAATTACTTAATGCATACAGATCCATCACCTAGAAGCAGCAAATAGTCACTGATGCCCAGATGTAAACCCAGTTACAAAACAAAAAAAGTAGTAACTTAACAAGCATGAATTTGGAAAATACAAAATTATTTTAGCAAAGCTTTTGTATCTCAATAGTTATGAACTGGATTTTTTAAATCTTTTAAATCTACAAGTGTATCAGGAAAACTGGTACTGAGGTATTTGCGAGTTCTTACTTTCCTGCGGTCTGGCAGAGATAAGAATTCAAGACAGTTTGGACTCCTACACCGAAGGTCAGCCAAGTATTCCTCTGCTGAGTTCTCCAAGTCCTCATGACTGTAGCTGTTCAACTTATCCACAGGGAAAGACATCCTTTTGAGAAAAAGAAACAATATTATTACTGTAGGTAGTTTGAGAGATACAATGCAGTTATCAGATATTCCTACTAAACACATAACTAAGACTGTTGAACAACCCCCTCTGCTGCTCTCTAGAGCCCTCTACATCCAAGCCAGAAAGGAGAAATGCTCCAGGCCTGTTAGCACCCAGTCTGTAAAACAACACATGAACCCAATCTGTATTTATAAGCAGAAAAGGATGGGTTTAGCCTCCAGATGCCCCTAGACCCAAACATGGCAGGTTTCCAACATACAAGCCCATGTAAAATAGACCAGATGCTGCCTTGAGGTAGCAGGCTCAGTTATCTACCTCCCAGCTGATATTTTTGAGGCTACAGATTACTTTTTGACCAGCCACTTACTGCTTAAACAGCCCAAAAGACAATAGAAAGAAAGAAGTTAATTTATTTCAGAGACTTCACATTCAAATCCATCTCTGAAGAAACTAAAGCATTGTTCAGAACTTCTCTCCCCAACTGGTCAGTTAGGGTGCCTACCAGCTGGTTGTTACCAAAAGCATTTCAACTGTGAACAGGGGATGTGACACACTCATTAAAACAAGAGCCCACAGCAGACTGAAAAGACACTTTAAGGAAGTGACAAGACAAAAACTGAAGCACCAAAGACCAATCACAGTGGCAATAGCTCCTTGACAGCTCTTAGATTCAAATTTTCCTTGTCAAGGTGGTGTAAAATTAAGACAAATAAGAGCTCCTGGAATCCACTGAGTGCTCTTCCAGGTCTATAAAATTACACACACACACAGACCCTTCAGCTCCTTTTCTCCACACTCTTGCCAGCATGACCTGCCAGAATTCCATGAGAACGAGTTTTGGAGGAACACAGGAATCTCTTCATCTGTCTCACTCAGCTCCCAGGAACTCAGCATCCAACTCCCAAAAACACAAAGCTTTCCATAGGGCATCTACAATTCCTAGTCTCCACTATGGAGTCTTGTCTTTTACATTTCATTTTAATTCCTAGTCTCCAATGATTTTTTCCCATTTATCTCCAGTTCCCTCCCTTTAATCCACTATTCAGTGGTAAATCAAATGCAAAAGAAGTTTTTATTTTAATTCACCCAGTATCAATTAAAAAGCCTGCATTTTAAAAGCTTTTTAACGGCACCAATATACTATTAAGTTCCTTGAATAGATGAAACTGCTCCTTCTGCAAGAGATACTTTTTTCCTATTAAAATTGAAAAACAAACTTTGACATGACTTCATTGGCATTTACAACCACTAGCTTTAATGCTTTTACAGATGAAAACACAAAGGCTTTCCACGAATGCTATTTAGATACACGCACACATTCCCCATAGCAATTTCCTTTCAAATTCATCTCATTCCTTCTCCTTATCTGTTATTTGTATTTTCTCTTGCCTTCCTGTCCAGTCTCTCACATTCCTCCTGCTGTTGCTCACTGACCCTTTCAGATGCTTTGCTGCATCTCTCAATTCTCCACCTGTTTCTTCCCACCTTCCAAGTGCTGCCCTCGCTAACAAGGCAGAAGAGACACCTGACAGCAGCCAACTCCATTTACTGCTCCTGTTCACCAGCAAAGGGACTCGGAGAGCCAAAGGCAAGGCCTGCGTGCCTCTGAACACAACAGCAATGCACAGCAGCCAGAGGAGCAATTCATCCACTGCTGGTCTCCTCACCTGTAGCAGATAGGGCTTACCCACCCATATTACAGTTCTGAAACACACCGGCAATACTGTAAACACGCTAGCTTGAGGTAAGTGTGCTGCAAAAGGAATAGGGAGAGAGGTAACTGTGAGATTCCATGTCACTGCTTCTACCACTGCATGAGTATTTAAGACCCAGTTAGCTGCAACAGGCCAGGTAAATTCTGCCTTAAGGGAATACAGACATGGGAAAAAACAAAAAATGTAATTTTCTGTACACTGGCAGAAAAGGGACACCCCCCCCCCCC